ATATATATATATATATATATATATATATATATATATAATTTTAGGGAGATGCAAAAATATTTTATTATTTTGATGTTGAGCAGGATATCAATGAATCCGTTGATTTTGTTGATGATTTAATGTTAACTAACGTTGAAGGAGATGAATGTAATGATGTGTGCTATGAAACTGAAGATATTCCTGTAAATGATATGCAAGATATTATTAGTCTTGATATGCATATTATGAGTGTTGTGGAATTAATCAAATGTCATTTTGTAATCCTTGAAGTAGTTTATTTGCTTTATAATTGGTATGCGAGAGTTACTGGATTTTATGCTCGTAAAGGAAAGATTTTAAGAAAAAATAGAGGAGAGGTTTTGTAGCAAACATTTTTGTGTCATACACTATTACATATATGTGCCAACATGGAACAAAATGTTACTAATTTCTCTTAATTATATATTTTTGTAACATTTTTAACAATAAATGTTACTAATTAATTTGAATTATACTCTTTAGTAATATTTTTAATCATAAATGTTATTGTTTTATTTAAATTATATATATTTTTTTGACTTTCTAACATTAAATATTATTAATTTATTCAACATTTTAAACATTTTTAATAATAGATTTTACTATTATTTTCTTAATTACTAATTTTAAATAATAATTAATTTTTATTTAAAATCAATTTTCTTATTTTTTAAAAAAACTTGCTTAATCACATCAGCTCTCGTAGAAACAGTGCAAGAGCACTTAAAATCCATGACTGAGCATTTCCGCACCAAAAGAGAAAAAAATCCATTTCTCTGAGTGAATAACAATGGCAACATTCACATTCAAAAGCCACAAACACCCACGTTAAAAGATCCATTTCTCTGAGGTAAGACCCTTCCGCACCAAAAGAGAAAAAATACCCATTTCTCGGAGTGAATAGTAATGGCAACGTTCACATTCAAAAGCCACAAACACCCACGTTAAAATATCCATTTCTTTGAGGTAAGATCCTTTTAACTCTTTGAAGTATTGACCTAATTCTTTTCATCTCTTATTCTCCTTTCTTATTCTTCAAAATCGGAAGCCACATACTCATATTGACCTAGTTATCGATTCCCTCGTATTGTTCATTGAATTAAGGATGTGAGCGAGATATCATACTGGCTTTCTTTTCCCTATTGTTTGTATTTTCTTTACTGCTTGCAGAAGGCGAGGGGGAAACTGCTACATTTGAAACAGGTTGTTCAGTGACTTGATTTCCTTTCTTTCTTTTTTGTTGTTTGACCCTGTTTGTTTGTTTATGTTTATGCATCACTTTTATCATTTTAGTTTTTATGTGCCTATCCTTCTGTTTGTTTCTATTAGGGCCATTTAGAGCTTATTTGGTTGCTGAATTTTTTCTACTGTTTAGTTCTGCAATTGTGTTCTTATTGTATTTTCTTCTAGAGGCTAGCTATTAGTCGAGTCAATTCAAGTAGTTTGAGAGAATTCAAGCCTAAATCAATTTTCCACTACCCAAACATGTTTTCGATGGTTTGTGTCTTCTAAATTCAAATTTGAGGTTATTCTTGCTGATTGAAGCTTCTAAGTATCTTTTATTTAGTGAATGTGGAGAAATTTGGGACTTGTATTACTGTTTGCTGGGGAATTTTCACTACTTGTCATTCCAATTGTTGTCTTTTCCTCCTCAGCTAAGGCCAAATGCAACATCTTTTATGGTTGTCATTCCAGATATTTTCTTATACAAGTCCTAGAACTAAACAATTTATTACTCTACTTGCTGTCCTACAGTATACAAATGGAGTCATTCAGATTCCACGTGGAAATCCTAGTTGCATAATCATAACATAATGTTCTAAGGAGCGAAACTTCTACTTGTGTCATGAGGTTATGACATTTTTCTTTTTTTCTAAGAATATTTTTTTATTTTCTTTTTCTTCAACTTATTTTGGATGAAATTGCTTTACAGATAGATACCTTATATTTAACAAATATATGTTGCTACTAATATTTTTTCAGTGAGACCTACATAATAATATTTACTTTCATATATCAATGCTTTGACACTTTCATAATGAGAAAATTTCACACTAGTTCCACAAATAATAAAATTAGGTCCACTCTCTTTTAAGTGAGGTCTACATAATAATATTTACTAAGTAATGTATAAGAAAGGATGTGTCAAATATATGTTGTTACTAACGTTTCTTACATATTGTCAAAGCAAAGTACAAACCTAGAAGGATCAAGCAAAGTCTGTAGTGTAGGTGTCGAAGAAAACACTTCATATTACTTAAGTAAAGAATTGAAACAGAACAAAACTAAAGAGAACAATGCCATTAGTTATATTTTCAACAAAAGAAAGTACAACATAGAATTTACACTACTGCAAAAATTGGATTTAAAATCGGACTTTTAAGATCGGTTATAAGGTAACCGATCTTAAAAGTGGCGCGGTGGCAATTTTGTAAATAAAATGAACACTTTTAAGATCGGTTCAAATTTAACCGATCTTAAAAGTACTTTTAAGATCGGTTATTTTATGACCGATCTTAAAAGGTATGTCTGACACAACTTTTAAGATCGGTTACAAAAGAACCGATCTTAAAAGATCGGTTATTTTATAACCGATTTTAAAAGTACTACTTTTAAAATCGGTTATTTCAGAACCGATTTTGTATGTAGTATACAAAATCGGTTCTTAAATAATCGATTTTAAAAGTATCGTGAGAAACCTTTTATATTTCCCTCCAATCTCATTCTCTTTAATCTTTCCCTCTATTCGTTTTTCTACTCTCTCAAACGCTCTCATTTTCTAAAGAGGTAAATTTCGTTGTTGTTTTCGTTTTCGTTTTCCTCTTCTTATGTCTCTTTTCGTTTTATCACGCGCTTCTCTTGTTTCTGTTTTCAAGTTCATTTTTGCTAAATTTCGAAGCTGGAACGGCCCGTTCTAAAAGGAGAATGCCCCGT